GGGGAGGTTTCGTTTTTTTCACATTAATTTCAGCCTGTCAGTGCTAAGGGGAATATTAATGAACCAAACACAGAGGAAGTCCTCTGTGAATCTTCAATTTGTAGAGAAAAACTAGGCAAAAGTTCAATTGGTGTGGAATAAATCCCTTACTTTGTGTCTATTCTATATTCTATGGGCAAGGATCACCTCTACTAAAAAAAAAGTCTATTATTCCCACTGAATCTGGACTCTGAAATAAACTAAAGTCATCAAATAAATAATCTACCAAAAGCTCCCATTATCTTCAAACCCAATTTTTCCTTCTATTTAAGACATGACAGAAATAAAAGGCTATCTGAAGCAAAAAAACCTTTTACCCTGAAATATTCTAATCCAGAAGATTATGTTTCAAGGCCCATTTACTTCCCCCCAAAAAAACATTGTCTTTAGAAATGGGAAAGTGCATGGTGGATTCACTATCTTTTTTTAAGATTAGGTTGCCAAGGCTGGAGTGCAGTGGCATCATCATAGCTTGCCATAGCCTTGAACTCCTGGGCTTACGTGATCCTCCCACCTCAGGCTCCTGAGTGGCTGCAACTACAAGTGTATACCATCACGCCTGGCCTTTCTTTTTTTTTTTTTTTTTTGTAAAGACAGGTTCTCATTACATTGCCCAGGCTAGTCTCAAATTCCTGGCCTCAAGCAATCCTGCCTTAGCCTCCCAAAGCGCTGGGATTATAGGTGTGAGCCACCACGCCCAGCCCGGATTCACTACCCTTAATTTCCTGGACTAATTTCTCCCTCGTACAGCTTGAGAGAAGTCTCTTCAGATATACTTCTTAGGGCCTCTGCTCCCATCTTCCCACACACCCTCACTCTTCTTTTCAACTGATGGGGGAGATACTTCAACTTGCTGCTGTCTCTCCATTTGCTCCCGGAACTGCTGCTGCAGCCGCTTTTGCCGGAGCTTCCGCTGGTAAGTGGCATCATTCTCCACAGTGGCCGAGGTCAGGTGTCTGGGTCACAACAGCAACAGGTGGGAGAGAGTTCGTGAGTGGTGGCTGTGGTTCCTCACAGAGCACACAAACCAGCTTGCTGGCTCTGAAGGTAGAAATGAAGGCAAACTAAATCGCATGAGAAGGAGCAGAAGAGGAAAGGAAGGGAACTTAGACCCCATACCGAGGGCTGCAGTCCTTTTCCTCCTGTATCACAATGTGGGGATCATCTGGGTGGCGAGGTCTGCAAGGGGAGGTCACTTGCTGTGGTTTTGGGTGTCCCAACATCATGTTTGGTTGACAGCTGTTATATCTTGCCTGTTCCACAGAGGGTTCAAAATCTTGTCTCTTTGCTTTAGTTAAATCTACTTCCAGAGGCAACTAATAAGTAAAGAAAGAGGATAAAATACCTTGAGATAAATGAAAACTAAAATTCAACATACCAAAACTTCTGGGATAGGCCAGGCACAGTGGCTCACGCCTATAGTCCTAGCACTCTGGGAGGCCAAGGCAGGCGGATCGTTTGAACTCGGAAGTTCGAGACCAGCCTGAGCAAGAGCGAGACCTTGTCCCTACCAAAAATAGATAGAAGTTAATTGGACGGCTAAAACTATATAGAAAAAATTAGCCAGGCATGGTGGCACATGCCTGTAGTCCCAGCTACTCAGGAGGCTGAGGCAGGAGGATTGCTTGAGCCCAGGAGTTTGAGGTTGCTGAGAGCTAGGCTGACACCATGGCACTCTAGCCTGAACAACAAAGTGAGACTCTGTCCCCCCCCTCGAAAAAAAATAAATAAAACTTCTGAGAGGCAGTGAAAGCAATCCTAAGAAGGAAGCTAAACACATAAATTAAAAAATAAGAGGCCCGGCGTGGTGGCCCACGCCTATAATCCTAGCACTCTGGGAGGTGGAGGCGGGAGGATTCCTCAAGGTCAGGAGTTCAAAACCAGCCTGAGCAAGACCACGACCCCCCCCCCCCCCGTCTCTGCTAAAAATAGAAATTAGCCAAACAACTAAAAATAGAAAAAATTAGCCAAGCATGCTGGCCCATGCCTATAGTTCCAGCTACTCGGGAGGCTGAGGCAGGAGGATTGCTTCAGCCCAGGAGTTTGAGGTTGCTGTGAGCTAGGCTGACGCCACGGCACTCTAGCCCTGGCAACACAGTGAGACTCTGTCTCAAAAAAAAAAAAAAAAAAAAAGGAAGATCTGAAATCAGCAACTTGACTTTATACCTCAAGGAACAAACTAAACCCAAAGCTAGCAGAAGGAAGTAAATTAAAAAAGGATTAGAGCAGAGATAAATGAAATAGAGAATACAAAAACAATAGGGGGGGAAAAATCAAAAATAGGAGTTGTGGGTTTTTTTGAAAAAAATCAAAATTGACAAACCCTTAACTAGATTAAGAAAAAAAGAGCAAAGACTCAAGTTGATGAATACCAATTTTAAAATCCCCAACAAAATACTAGTAAACCAAATTCAACAGCACATTAAAAGGATTATACAACATGGCCAAATGAGATTTATTCCTAGAATGCAAGAATAGTTTAACATAATGAAAATCAATGTAATACAGCACATTAACAGAATAAAGGATAAAAACTGCATGTTCATCTCAACTGATACAGAAAAAGCATTTGACAAGATTCAACACTCTTTCGTGATAAAAACACTCAACGAACTATGACTAGAAGGAAACCACATCAATGTAATACAGGCCATATATGAAAAGGCCACAGCTAATACACTCAAAGGTGAAAGACTGAAAGCTTTTCCTCTAAGATCAGAAACAAAGCAAAAACACCCACTCTCACTATTTCTATTCAACATACCATTGGAAGTTCTAACTAGAGCAATTAGGCAAGAGAAAGAAACAATGCATTCAAACTAGATAGGAAGAAATAAAATTATCTTAGTTCCACGGACATCAAAAGAAAAACTTCCTGACATTGTTTTGGATATGACCCCAAAAGCACAGGCAACAAAAGTAAAGATAGACAAATAGGACTGCATCAAACTTAAAAACTTAAGAGGCAACCTATGTAATGGGAGAAAATATATATAAATCATATATCTGATCAGGGTGATACATATATCTATATATAGATATATATATGATATGATATATATCTGATGATATATATATATATCATATATCTGATATAATATCCAGAATACTTAAAGACGCACTACTACTCAACAATAAACTATCAAATATCCCAATTAAAAAATGGAAAAGGGGGATCCGAATCAAGATGGTGGAGGAGAAACACCGCCAGACAGAGTGTCTCTGCAGAAAAGACAGATTCTAGCAGAAATTAGAAGAAAAAAGCAAGAAGACGAGCCTACATTGGACGAGGGTCGGAAGGCGGGGTACCTGAGACCACGGGAGACTCCACAGGAGGAGGTTGCAGAGGAGAACTGGAAGCTGAGACCGCCGGAGCAGCCCAGAGACCATCGGGAAGGGTAGGTGGATAAGTCACCTTTCCCCTCCCTTGCATCTCGGACTGCTGGTGGGCTCCCCAGCAGGTGGAGAGACCTGCGGACACCAGCCCAGGAATCATACATGAACGCATTAAAGATGTAATCCATCCATATTGCTTTCCACAGAGGTTGAACTAGTTACAGTCCCACCAGCAGTGTAGGTGTTCCCTCTCACTGCCACACCCAGCATTTGTTGGACTTTTGGATAAAGCCATTCTCACTGGAGTTAAGTGATATCTGATAGTGGTTTGATTTGCATTTCCCTGATGATTAGAGATGTTAACATTTTTTGTATGTTGTGGCCATATTCTGTCCTTTTTCAGAAGTTTACTATTCATGTCCTTTGCCCATTTTTGATAGTGTTGTTTGCTTTTCTTGCTGATTTTCCTGAGTTCTAAATAGATTCTAGTTATCAGCCCTTTATCAGATGTGTAGCTGCAAAAATTTTCATCCCATTCTGTGGTTGTCGTTTGCTCTCTTGATAGTTACTGTGCAGAAGCTTTTAATTTCATTAGGTCCTATTCATTATTTTTATTGCTTTGTGATTGCTTTGGGTCTTCTTCATAAATTCTTTGCACTAGGCCAATGTCCTTGTTGGTTAGATGTATTTCCTGAAGGCAGCAGATACTTGGCTTGTTTCTTTTTCCATTAGGCCAGCCTGTGTCTCTTGAGTGGAGTTAAAGCCATTCACATTTATTGAGATAACTGATAGGTGGGGAAGATTTCTGTTCATTATGTTGGATGAACATTGTTGCTTTGTTTCTCTCTTGAGCCATTGTAGTGTCTGGCTTTGCTTAGCTTTCAGTAGATTTAGATTCGTGTTTATTGTGCTGATCCGTGGGTAACACTATTTTTTTTTTTTTTTTTGAGACAGAGTCTCGCTTTGTTGCCCAGGCTAGAGTGAGTGCCGTAGCATCAGCCTAGCTCACAGCAACCTCAAACTCCTGGGCTCAAGAAATCCTCCTGCCTCAGCCTCCCGAGTAGCTGGGAGACTACGGCATGCACCGCGTGCCTGGCTAATTTTCTATATATATTAGTTGGCCAACAATTAATTCTATTATAGTAGAGACGGATCTTGCTCTTGCTCAGCTGTTTGAACTCCTGACCTCGAGCATTCCGCGCCTCGGCCTCCGAGAGTGCTAGGATACAGGCGTGAGCCACCGCACCCGGCCAGTAACACTGTTTTAAGTACTCTTGTAGGGCTGGTCTCGTCTTGAATTCCCTCAGTCTTTGCTTATCTGAGAATGTCTTTATCTCCGTCATATATGAAGCTAGTTTTGCAGGAATAAGATTCTAGGCTGAGCATTGTTTTGTTTCAGAAGAGTGAGAATGGGGCCCAGTTCTCTCCTGCTTGTAAAGTTTCAGTAGAGAAGTCTGGGTGTTATCAAATGCTTTCCCTTGTATGTTACTTGCTTCTTTCGTCTTACAGCTCTTAGAAGGGCCTCTTTAGTTGATATTTTGGTCAGTCTGATGACTGCATGTCATGACATCTTCCTGTTTGCTTGAATTCCCAGGGGTCCCTGAGGTTCTTGAACTTGTATATCGAGATTTGAGCAAGGCCTGCGAAATTTCCTCTATTATATCTTCAAATAGGTGTCCAACCCTTGAGTGTTGGTCTCTTCCCCTTCTGGTAACCTATGACCCTCACATTAGGTTTCTTCACATAATCCACATCTCTTATAGCTTTGCTCTTTCTTCTGTTTCTCTGCTCTATTCTGTGACTGATTATTTAATTGGAAGTGTTTATCTCAATCTCTGAGATTATTTCTTTTGTGTGATCACTGTTCTTGAGGCTTTCCACTGAATTTTGTAGTTCCTGAATTGATCTTCATTTCCAGGATTCGGTTAACTTTTCTTCATTGTATTGATTCTTTAGTGAACTTTTGTTCCAGTCCTGGAGCTTTTGTGGTTTCTTTGTGTTGGTTATTGAGTTGTTCTTGCAGGTCGTTGATTTCTTATGTCCACATTCGGAATCCTCCTCTTCTGTCATTTTAGCCTGATTTTGGTTGGTGTCCGTTTCTAAGGGCTGGTGCTCTCTTTGGGGTGTGTTCTCCGTTGGTTGTTCATTTCCAGAGTTCCTCGCTGATTTCTTCCACGTTGATCATTGATGTTCTTTCCTTTAGGTTTTCGTTTGGGTATTCACACTCTTTTTAGTTCTGAGCTGTTAGGTGTGTCTGTGGGTGGATTCGACCACTCCCTGTAAAATGAATCAGTAGTGCCGTGAAAAGGTGTGCAGGATGCCCTCCCTATCAGAGTGCAGTTGCTTGGAGGAACAGGCTACGCTGTTGTTTGTGCCGTTATCAGCTCTTTCCTGTAGAGAGCACTCTATGCGCTCAGGTGTGGGTGGGGCCCTGGACTTCAGGTGTGTCCTTTTCTCCCCTCAGTGAGGGCTAGTCTAGGAGAGAGTCTAGGCGGAGCTGGGTTGGGTAGCCTGCCTCAGGCACCACCAATGCCGTTAGCAGGGGTCAAAGTTCTGTTCTCGCTCCAGGAAAAGCTGCAGGGAGGGCCGAATGGCCCCTCAATCAGAGAGTCTACGTGTGGTTGGCTGTCTGAGACCCGCAGTCTGGAGCGGGCCTCGCTTCTCCACCCTCCCAACTCCGCAGCTATCCTGGGCCTCTGCCAGCAGGCCAGACCTACCAAACCGAGGCCTCCCCTGGCTGTGATGCCGGCGGGGAGGTTCCCTGGGCAGGAACGCCACCTGGGCTGGGCTCATGGCCTCCCTATGGGAGTAGAGTTGCCCTCTAGGACGCTGATCTGACCCCGAAGGCACACACCCTCAGTAGGCTGTCACATATATCCTTCTGTGCCCGGGCAATTCGAGACCTGGGTGCACGGATCTGGTCTGCAGGTCTGACCTCTGCCCCAGACTTCAACTTATCCCCACCAGGGAGAGGAGTTCCGGTCCCAATTCACCCACAGGGAGTCCAAGCGTGTCTATGTCTCCTAGCCTCAGGTCTGCCCCTCTCCTGGGATCACCGTGCCAGCAGCACCTGGAGAGCTGGCGGGTAGGGAGCTCACTGTCTGAGTTCCCCTTAGTCAGCTGTAGGGCCCCGAAAGAGAAGGTCCCACTCCCTGGAGGTGCCTCCAGCTGGTGGCTATATTGTCTCTCTGGGCAGCCACGGGTAGGGTGGGCGGAGGGGAGAGTGAGGCAATATGGCGCCTGCCGCGCGGCTCGGGTCTGTGCACACGGAGGTGCCCCAAGGGAGTTTGGAGCCTGGTGCCGCGTCTGCTACAGGCTTACCACTCGCTGGTGGTGCCTGTCA